GATACATCTGCCCAAGGTCTGCTTTTAGTCCTTGATCCTTCACTAAGCTGTCCATCCTTGATCCTCCTTAACGTTTTTTAGAGCTTCTGCTGTTTGAGACTTACCATGGCTGAATATGGATTTGTGAATCTAATCATAATAATGAGAAAGGGGAAAATGTTTGTGATATAGCTGCTTATTGTATTGCATTTTCCTATTTATGATAATTTAAACATCCAGTGCTTCTCTAAAGCATTGGCACTGCCTAACCGCAGGGTAACTTTAAAAGAAGGTTTATATAACTGCATAAATACTCAATTTACATTAGTGCTGAATTTATGAAATGAGGATTTTGGTCCTCTTACTTTGAAGGGAGTGGAAGTTAAATTCATTTTCTATTTTACAGACCTCCAAGTGGGTAGAGAAATGAATAGAGCGTAGAAATAAATTTTGAAAAGATAATGGAAACAAAGCAACCTCCCTCCATACATATTATATTTCAAGAACTCATGTGAGAAAAATATAGATCCTTATTAAAACGATGTTTCATTGCTGCCCTTGGATTATTTCAAAAACTTTTCATCTGATGTTATGAAAAGTTGCACAAGACTATCTATACTGAAGGGGCTGTGCTATATGATTTATCTTCAGTTCTTTCCATACTTTAAAGGCTTTATACCGGGCTATGATTGGTTGGATGTTTTCTATCTGTCATGGGTGTTTCTCTGGACATCTGTCTACATGGAAATTAAGATTTTAGAAAGCTAATATTTTTACCTGTCCTGGTTAGAACTGTTGATCCTCTTCATTGTACAGAACTGCCCTCTTTTACTTTCATCTCATAATTCAAATTAAAAACTGCTGGCACATCAATTTTATTAATACTTCCTGTTATACATTGAGAGCCTGAAATCTCTGCCACACAGACATTATTTCTTGTCTCAGCAGTCAAGCATTATTAGGTTACTAAGTCTGGGGAGAAGATGTATTAGGGGAAAGTGTTAGTGAAAATCTCTGAGCAACAACATATAAAAGCCCCTATCTAGATTTGATAACAGTATCTAAGGAGTTCATCACAAGGAGCAAGAGGAAACTAGGGGAAGCAGGAAAAATTACTCACTCCCATCACCCAAGATCACCTCCTCCAACTTCTAACTCAACCATTTGCTTAATTCGCATCACATAGGCAGGTGATGATTCCTCCTATTTCAAGGATACCAGCACACTTTTTCAAACAGTCATCCTTTAAGGCAGCATTGTCTTCAAGACCTTTCCACTAAAGCAAATTTAAGGCATTTTTCTTAAGGTAGCACTTTCCATGGGGTCGTTTGCACTTAAGACCCTTCCACTGAAACATAGTTTAGCACCTTTCTTAAAGCAGCACTTTCTCTGGGATCCTTTGTCTTCAAGACCCCGCGACTGAAGCAGATTTAAGGGATCGTTTCCACTCAAGACCTTCCACTAAAACAGAAGTACCTTTCTTAAGGCGACACTTTCCCTGGGGCTGTTTCCTCCCATTGTCTCTCCAGGATTTCAATTATTTATCTTTTTTAAAAAAACACCCCAGATTTTAGGAAGTGGTTTTAAATTAACCCTCATCTTTCCCAGATTCTTTGCATTGGTGATCATAGAAAGAGGTTTTTAATTATCCCTGATCTTTCCCCAAGCTTCTGGACTGGTGATATGAGGAAATGAATGTTTTGTCTCCTCCCAAATGCAGTGTCATCGTCCACTAGGATGGAATCGATGGTATTATTCTTCCTACTCTTCATATTCTAATGAATAGAAATAGGTTTTTAAGTCTTTCTTGAAGGAGAGGAGTGAGGGAGCTTTTGGAAGGGAGTTCCAGAGGGAAGGGGCAGCCACAGAGAAGGCCCCCTCTTTCGTTCCTACGAGATATGCTTGAGACACAGGGGTGGAACTGAGAGGGGGTTCCCCCTCTGATGATTGCAGAGTCCTAACAGCTTTGTAGACAGGGATGTCAAGTAGTCTGTGCCCGAATCATTTATAGCTTTATAGGTAATAACCAATACTTTGTATTTAGCCCGGAAGCAGACTGGCAGCCAGCGGAGTTGTCTGCTCCCTGTATGGCGCTCCAGTTTGTAACCTGGCTGCTGATCTCTGGACCACTTGGAGCTTCTGAACGATCTTCAAAGGCAGCTCCACATAGAAATTGTTGAAGTAGTCCAACAGTAGTCTGTGGATAACCACGATCAGATCTGGCATCTCAAGGTACAGGTGCAGCTGGTGCAAAAGTTTTGATTGTGCAAAGACACTCCTGGCCACTACGAACACCAGGGATTCCAGGGTCAACAATGAGTTCATTGCTTTACAACAATTTCAAAGCTATTATTGAAAGGTTTTTGTTTTTTTTTAAAAAAGCCCAATTATCAACAAGTCAACAGTCATGCAAGATAGACATTGGGAGAAGGGTAATATTATGGGAGCACATTTTTCAAGGTCATCACAAGTCATGGAATTCTATGAGCTAAAAAGGTTTTGCTTTTATTGGCTTGGGCCTCATATCAGCAGCCACAGGAGGGAATTTTCATTGATTTCTTTAGGTCTTTGAATCCCCAAAATGTATTTCAGATAGTATGAGAACCAATTACAACATTGTTGTTCCATAGGGGCTTGCGTTGGGACAAGAAAATCAGTACTGTGCATCCATTGCTTTTACTTTTTCTGTAAATAGCGTAAGCTTTTTTCTGCTTATAAAGTTGAACCCAAGAAACAATTCTATCTCTTTTTGATAAAAGTAAGATTACGTAGTTGGATCCTTTCCCGCTAAATACAAGTGACCTATATAGGAGTTGTACAACAGATTCACCAAGAAATCCCAGTATAATAATTTAATCAGCCTTGGCAACAAGTGTTGTGTTTCATTTTCATTTCATATTGTTTTCTCACCTGGATACTATTCTTACAAAAGGCAAGTAGGAAGATGCCTGCATTTAGTGGTCTTTATTATAAATGAAATGTATTCACATATTTTTTTTATTGTAAAAATCAGTTATGTATGTCCATTAAAGAAATGACTCCCACCAATTTCAAAGGCATTTCCTTTCAAACAAGCCTAAATAAGCATCCTAAATGTGGGGTGTAGCCCAGGCATCTCCATGTTACTGCATAGTGAACATGGGTGTCGCTTTGCCTATTTTATTTTCATAAGACTAAAAACACGGGAATTTTTTGCCCTGCTGAAAGAAGGAAAAAAGTGTGAAAGGGCTTGTTCCAGGGCAGAAGACATTTTATATGTTTATTGTAATGACCCTGCATGATATCTAAAAGATGAGGAGAAAAGCACTGGTCATTTACTCACTTTGGAACATGATGATCCCTGTCTTGTGATGCTGAAAGAAGTCAACTGGAGTTTTAGGGCTTCCTTGTCACCTGTACACTGATGACAAACAACTCTCCTTCCCCTTTCCTTCCTATTCCAACGAAGCTGTCTATATTTTAAATCAGTATGTGCTATCATTAGTGGACTGAATGAAGGTGCAAATTGAAAAAAATCCAGAGAAAAGACAGGACCTACTAGTCAGTCAAAAGAAGGATTAGGAAATGGGGATGCTGGGTGGGGTTACACTTCCCCTTGAATCTCAGGCACACAACTGCACTGCCCTGTGAGAGTTGGATCTGAGCATGGATGCCACGTTTTGGCTGTGGCCAAGAGTTCATTTGAACTGTGAAATCAGTCCCTTTGAGAAGTCAGATTTGGCTATGGTGACACATATCATCACCATCTCATTTGGACTACTATTACTTACTTAGGCAATCCCTCATAGCCCGAGGATTATGGTCCTCCAAATGTAGTGTCTTGGCAGTTGGTCTGTAGGTGGCAGTGGAGCCCTATTCTTCATCTGCATGTTCTCTCGCAGTGAGGACATCGGTTTCCAGGAGAAAGGTGGTCCCAATCAGGGTTGGCTCGACGTGCCTTCCTCTTGGCATGTTTCTCCCTTTCACCCTCCATTCGTACCTTTTCAAATTCTGCAGCACTGCTGGTCACAGCTGACCTCTAGTTAGAGTGCTCAAGGGCCAGGGCTTCCCAGGTCTTGGTGTCTACGCCTCAGTTTTTAAGGTTGGCTTTAAGTCCATTTCTAAATCTCTTTTCCGGTCCACCAACAGTCCAGTGGAGTTGATGGCATAGAACCGTCGCTTCAATGCTTGTGGTCTTTGCTTCTTCCAGCATGCTGACATTTGTCTGCCTGTCTTCCCAAGAGCTTTGCAAGATTTTTCAAAGGCAACGCTGGTGGAATCTTTCCAGGAGTTGAGTGTGATGTTTGTAGACAGTCCACATTTCACAGGCATATAGGAGGTTTGGGAGGATGATAGCTTTATAAACAAGCAGTTTGGTCTCCCAACAGATGTCCCGGTCCTCAAAGACTCTCTGCTTCTTTTGGAAAAATGTTGCACACGCAGAGCTCAAGCAATGTTGTATTTCAGTGTCAATGTTGACTTTTATGAAGCGGTAGCTACTGTTAACATGGGGCCTGCTTTTGGAAACTGTTGAGGAATTTTAGTGGATTCAAAATGTTCCCGCCAGGCTGTTCACCAAGCCTGGGTAAAGGCCTATGTCTTGTTGACTGCTGCTCCATTCCCTGACAGAATTCAAAGTCAAAGAATTGACCTACACAGCTTGGGTCCAGACTAGCTGAAAGGCTACATACCAGCCAGTGTGAGCTTCAGTATCTTAGGGTTTTCTCCTAGTCCCACCTCTTTGGAGTCCTGGTTGGTGAGCACATTTTTAGAGTTGCTCTCAGACTTTGGAACTCCCTATCAAGTTGATCCATTCCCTGTTCTCTTTCTGTTGGCAGCTGAAAACCTTTTTGTGATTGCTATTATGGAACAAAAGTATTTTTTTTCAAGGGAGTATATCTACTTCCTTGTTTGTGCCTTTCTTGAGAAAAAAAAAGTATTTACAAATGTTCTTTGCCTTCCTTAATAGTGGAATATTTTACCTAATTGCTTTTGTGTTTTTATAAAACTGCTATTAGTGACACTTACCATTATGTTCCTAGGTGCCCAGAATCCATTCGACCAGAAGCCGTCCGCCCATGTCTACTTCCATGCAAAAAAGATTGTGTAGTGACCCCTTTCAGTGAATGGACACGCTGCCCGACTACCTGCCAACTGGGTAAGATGATTAATTGACTCCATGAAAATTTTAGTTGTTCTTCTAATCCTTGCTTTCATAAACATAAGTCCATCAAAATTAGTGTTGGTTAATTGTAATTCACATTAGATCACTGAGACAAAATTACATAGAACCTTTAAAACAAAAGAAAGACTGTTTTTAATTTGTTATTTGTTTGTTGTGCTTTCAGTGGACTCTACGCAGATCGGGAAAATAAATTAACAGGCAGATTACTTTGTTTATTAAATAATCCTGTACAATTAAAGGAACCTTCCAAATCAATTATTTAACTTCATTGGCAGAGTTATCATTTAATATAATTTTAAATTAAAATGGAGTGGTGAGCATTTAGTTGCTCACTGGGTTTATTATTGAGGTAGATGTACTGTAAGTTCTTCAATTTGTGCAGCACAATTAAAAGCATTGCATGATAATATGTATGTGAATTATGTAGAAAGGATAAACAGCATGCAAAGGGCATGTGAGGAAGTAGACTTAGAGGTTGTCCACCCTGGCCTGTTTTGGACTTCAGCTCCCAGAATTTCTGGCCATTGGATAAGCTGGCTAGGGGTCCTGGGAGTTGGAGACTCAAACATCTGGAGGGCCGCAAGTTGTACAAGACCACCTCCAACCAGAAGTTGCCCCTAGACATCTGCACAACATGCAGAGATTTTTGATTAGTAATTTGGAGTAAAACTGCTTAGGAGAAGTTTGGGTGCTCACAAGGATACCTTTGCTGATGTTAGCAATGACACCTGGTGGTGACTGGAAGCTCTCCAGAACTTTGCACAAGCTGTTGTGGTAACATGGACAAAAGTCCAAGTAAGGGTGACTATGTAGTGTGGCTGAGCCTGGTTCGGCCTGATGAGACAGTCTAGACTCCACTCTCGCCACTTCCATGGCTCTGAGTTGGAGAGTGTAATTAGCTCTGCTGAATCAAGAGCTGGTCTGAAGCAGCAATGTGCATCATTGATCCTAGTTTAAGTGACCATGTAAATCTACGAAAACTTGTGTTACTACCTTCTTTCTTGGGGACTTATCTACATATTAATGGAGTTTGACATCACTTTAACTACCATGACTCAGTGCTATGGAATCTTATAAAACAAGAGCTCCATTGCATTGAGCTATGGCAGTTAAAGTGGTGTCCAGCTGCATTAATTCAGCAGTGTAGATGCACTCTGAATTAATCTCTAAGGTGCTACATGATGCCTTTGCATGCTAATTTCCTAGATCAACATGGCTATGTTTTTAAATTCTGTCCACAATGAACATCAGGCTGCCTAGGATGTTAAGAATGGATGATCAAATTTTACATGTCAGTAATAAAATTAAATATCTCCCCAAATAATAAGAATTTAGGCAAATGACATTTAAAATAAAATCAGATGTTGGCAGTGCAGCAAACCCACTTCATCAGATAAAATATGAAGAGGTGAACTGGGAAATCAGTGTCCAGCTTTCTCACCTATTGCTTGCCCTTCAGTTAAATGTCATAAGTCATTTTCCTGCCAAAGAATTATCATGCACCTTGATTGTGTGTAGATGATACTGTGCTTGGGGAAATAACAGAAAGAAGAAGCTGCAGGTTTCACAATAGGAATTTTAAGTGAAACAAAGGGACTCGTTTTATGTAAAGATCTCAGTTCCATTCTATTTCGCCTCTCTCTGTGCGTGTGGCACGGGGATAATTAGCTCTTAATTAATATTGCTGTTATTTCCATGTTTTGTTCACCAATATATGAAGACATTGAAACTCGTATGGTCAACTTAAATTATAATAAAAGAAATATTTGGGGGTGGGGGAGAACTAAGAAAAGAATAATAAGGATTTTTAAAAAAGGAGAAAAACATAGTTTTAGTACCTAAACATCAAAATAAATTTTTAAAAATTGGTATTAAATCAGGAAAGGCAAAACAGTTATATGCTGTGGGATTTTATTACTGTGAGTCCTGACAAACCTGGTACAACCTTGAAGTTTTGAGCTGTGGAAATAATATTAAATACCTTACTTACTTACTTAGGCGATCCCTCGTTGGACGAGTAAGATGGTCTTCCATTATGGATTTCCTT